TTGAGCTAACTAGATTTTAAGAGGCCGGGAAGCCTTCTTGTGTAGTTCTTCAAGTTGGAATTCCTGAAAATGGTAATAAAATATGGAGGAGAAAAATGCAATAAAAAGCATTTAAATTACTTAATGCAAGGGTGTGTACTTGTTTGTAAGTGTGCAAGTATAGCGCGCTGTGTGTGTGTGTGTGGGTGTGTGTGTTGTTGTTTTTTTTTTTTTTTTTTTTTTTAAGGACAAACTTCCAGCCATTAAGTCCACCCAGAACCATTACCTTCAATCCTTATTTAGTGAATGCTGTGCTAGCAAAAGCCAACACAAGTGAAATGTTTGCTGCTTTCTAAGCTTTAGCTTCTGGAAGTATAATTTTAAATGGAACACATGGTATGCTTAAACTTAAGGTTTTATAGGTCTTTTCTATTGATGTGAACAGAGAAGTTCCCTTCAAGATTGTGGAAGGGGTTAAAAGCTAAAGGTATACTACAAAAAGAACTGAGTCTGGATCAAGACAAAATAACCCTGTGTTAGTGCCAGTTCAAACAAGGGAGAAGTAGTCCCCCTAAAACATCATGAACCTTACTGCTACAGCATGCTTCCAGATGTAAACGGTAGTTGGCTCACAGTGCCAAGAATGTGCTTCTAGTCTGGCAGCCTAGATAAAGGTCAGTTTTCATTTCCTTGCTTAATTTCTGCTTCCTTTCAACTGTTCAGCTCCTTGGCTACTGAGACAGTCTCATCTGTAACCAAACACTTTATATAAGTGTGTTACTTGAGTGTAAACTCTGCATGTGTCCCTCCTCCAGTACCTCACTTGATTTCTAATATGGTTCAAAAGTGGCTTGGCAAAGGGCACTCTAGCAGTGGTGTTAGCTTTTGAGTTAATAGCCAACCACCTTTTTGACTTGGCTAGTGTCATCTACTTCAGATGGAGGCTGACTCCATGGCCAAACTTACTTTGGATTACTTATGTTACAGGGCTGAATTCCATGCAGAAATGTGTATGGGGGGGTTGGGGACTGTTGCATCCATGCTTGAGGAAGCAAGAACTCTTTACTGTAAACTAGACTAAAGGGAGTAGGCTTTTATATTCTTGTTTTGGTCTGAGATTCAGGGGTAAATCTGTATCTTGTGACAAGTCAATGAAAAGTGACTGCTAAATGATCAGTTCAGCTTGCAAAGAAGTGTTTTACATCTGGGGCATAGTTGAAGGGCAGCTTGGCTAGATCTAAGGAAATTCTACCCTAGTCACTGCATTACGAACTTTGTAGTAATCATCTGAATACAAGTTAACTTTTTTGGAGAGGCTGAGGTGGAGAGAGGCAGCTCCACTTCCTTCATGTAAACTGGAATTGCCCTTCTGCATGGAAGTCAGGGACAGGTACATCAAGGCCTCTCTTGGGATATAAACCACACATGAACCAATACTTCTAACTTGCCTTTGCTATTGCAGGATACATTAAAGTTACTTTTATTGTGCATTCATATCATTTGTATATAATCTTTTTCTTTTTAGGTTCATGATAAGGAAGATGACTTGGGTAAAGGAGAAAATGAAGAGAGCACAAAAACTGGCAATGCTGGTGGTCGCTTGGCTTGTGGTGTAATTGGAATAGCCAAGATGTAATTGTTGCACTGTACGTGAATTACTTAAGGTGGAAATGAGAAATTAGGCTTTAAAAGTTGCATTGGAAGCACTATTCTTGGCCTTGTTTTGGCAGAAGCTTTACCATTTAATCTCATTGCTACTTTGAGTCAAGTGTCTGTACACTGGTCAAACTGACTTGGTTTATTTTGTACAATGTTCATTGCTATTAAACTGATATTGATGGAATAGTTTTGCAGTCTTCTGCATCAACACAATCTGTTCTAGTCATTAAACTATCATTCTACTAATGAAATCACTTGTCACTGGTCCTCTATCATACTGTTATAACAACTTAAAATGTGGAACATGGTTGAATAACTGAAGTGTTCCCTATATAGGGAACAGTGTCCAGTTTCAGAAACAATTTGATGGGTAAAGTTCTGCCTAGAATTGTGTCAAGACACTAAAAAAATTCCATTAAGGTAAATGAAGGGAACTACTTCTAAGCTGAGACAACTTGCCACTCCCACAGGTAATTCTTCAAATATTTTGTGGGGCTTGCATCACAACACTGTCCCAATCAAATGGTTATTATTAACTTGGTGAGACAGGTGAGGCTTCTCTCTTTTGCTTTGCAAAGTAATTTCTATTCAGGCCCATTAACACTTCTGCTTTATCTACTACAGTGGTGGAGGTGGTGGTGGCAACAGCTATGCCTAAAGAGGGGATGTAGTGACCTTGAACCTTTTAAAAAGAATTAAGATGAGTATAAATGAAACTAGTTTTGTTTTTGAGAGAGAATCTTGAGGCTTCCAGGGGTAAGGGGGTAAATAAAAGACTCTATCCCTCATCTTCTGTTCCTGCTTTAGTTGACTTTATTCCTGTCATCAGAACAAAAGCAGTGGAGTTTAAATAAGCAATTACCTTCTCAGAGCCTAATACTAGAGTTCAAAACTTATTTTGAAATGGTAATAGCTGGCATATTCTGGTTAGTTGGACAAACCAAGCACACAGATAAATAGTGGGAATAATTTTGTAGCATCTCTTATCCTTCATGGCTTAAATACATAATAGCAGCTCTCTTTGGACATATGAATTTGGAGATTTTTCATTCTCATATGTAATAGTTCTTCATATCTGGATACAGGGAGAAATTGGAGTCTCTTTCCCATTTAGCAAATAGCTGTCATTTCAGACAAAGCCAGCTAATTCAGTACATCTCAATGTATGCACAACTGATTACACTACTGTGAGGAATACATACTAAACAAAGCCCTTACCAGCTAAACTTAATGAAGTATCCACTATGCAGCATGTCAGACTAATAGAAACTTGCAGCTTTAAAGGGCTAAATCA